CGAACTGCAAGAGGGTGATCGCTTCCTCATACATCTTGGTGCCATTCTTCGGAGGGTTGAGGTTGAGTAACACACTCCAAAAGGAACAAGGAAATGCCAGCACCAAAAAGAAAGGACTTTCACGCTTCAGGACGGCTCTGGCAGCTTTGCGATCCAGTGGACGGAGAAAGTTCCATCCTGATTCCAAGCTCATTGAGGCTCCCACTCGATGTCCTCGTTTGCGAGCCGTCTGCGCAACTCGCTCTGTGTTTGTGTAGACCTCAGTGACAAAGGTCTTGGGGAAGCGGTCATTCTCAACAAGGTCGGGGTTCTTTGAAATCAACCTATTCTCAGACATGGCATGGGACTGAAAAGACTTCTCATCGCCAACGGTGAGGGTGGTGACAAAGATCTCGTTCTGGAAGTGGTCCATCGCTCGATGCCACTGCTCCTCATAGACTTCATTCACTTCCTTGGCACTGAGCGACACAAGGCGACGGTCTCTTTCATGACGCTCCCAAGCATCCGAAATCATTTTAGCCTGACCAGGTTTCACCGCCTGATGTATCCTCCAAGGATTCGTCTCCAGCTCGAGCATCGGTCTCACTGGTCGCGAGGAGGAATTCCATTGGCCTGGCGCCACTCCAAGTCGTCCTGGTAGTAGTCGCGGTTCATCTGTTGAATCTCGTCTTGGGTCCAGCCGAAGTCCATGGTTGCTTCGGTTTCCATCGGACCGGAAGTCATAGGTCCTGGCAGGTGCGATGCTTGGTGCAGGGTCGAAATGCTCTGGAGCACTTGGTTCAGCATCCCTTGGAACTTGTGGTCCTGCATGGTGAGGACTTCCTGTAGCTCTTGAGCGGTCACTCCAGGAGATGCCTTGGCCTTTGCGCCAATTGTCTCGGGCGCTTGAGAAGGTCTCGCCATTGACGTCTCGGGGACATGTCTTTCCGTTGAACTGGTAGATCCACTTGCCTTCGAGGGAGTTGGCTTTTGAGCGATCTCGGCAACCAAGGGGCGGCAAGCTTTCTTGAGATCTTCCACAGTCATTCCAGTCTGGACGGGGATGTTCAGGAGTGAAGCCAGTTTCACCAGGTCTGCCTTCAACGTTGGCAGGCCTCCCTTTGGGCCGATGAGGGAGCGCACCATGTCGTGCTTCTCTCCACGCTTGGTAGCGGCCTCGGCTTCGAGTTGGGCTTCCTGAATGGCATCCCGCTTCAATTGGGCCGTCAGGCCTTTGCTGGCGCGTGCCGCAAGCATTCCTTGCAACATGTTGTCCTCCATGAAGGCGAAGTTGAGGCCAGCACGGTTCCTGAATTGTCCCAAGTCCAGGAGGTTCTTGGTCGTGTACACTGACGGTTCTTGGGTTCGAGCTCGCTGCCAGCGCTTGACCATCAATGCCTTTGGCTTCTGGAGGGTCATAGATTCGGCTTGTTCTTGCCAATGTCTGGTATGGCTGATGCTGGGGTACGGAAAGGGCGCGTACCGCAGCTGCGGACGAGGCAACAGCCATAAGAGCAAGCCATGTGCGTGCCAAGCGGCCTTTGCGCGAAGGCGGAGAAGCATTCGCCGCCAGCGCAGCACCACCTTCGTGTAGTCGTTCTTGGTCAGGTCGAAGTGCTGGGCCGCTTCCATTACGATCCACAGATCCTGCGAGGGCTCGAAAGGTCGTCGAAGAGGATGTCGTCGGGGCTGAAGGACGTGTTTGAGCCACCTTCATAGCTTGAGCCCCGGCCGATGTCGCAGCAAGGATCGCATGCTCTGTCACAAGGTGCTCATGCGGTGCTTCGGAGGTTGACTCAAAAGGCACTTCAAAATGACTCATCTTCAATTGCAACTGTTTCTTCCAAAAATCAAAACTGTTCAACTGAAGTTCAACTATGCCGTCTTGTCCAAGTTTCCGCCAGCGTTGGGAGTCCGGACGAGGCCATTGGCGTGGCTGGAGTGGAAGGGCGAAGTGGCCTGCGGCCAGCTGACCCAACTCCAAGAGTTCGCCACCCACCAAGTCAGCTCTCAGTAGCTTGCGGCCGAACGAAAGGACCGCACCGATAGCGCTCAAAAAGTCTCTTCCCAAAAGGAGTCCCAACGATGGCACTGGCACTATTGACACCCACACCAAAACCAAAGTCGAACCCAGGGCCATAGGGAGTCTGTACCTCACGGTGCTTCTTTGGGTACCACCATTTCCAAACCTGAACAACTCATTCTCGGGGGTGGTGATGATGAGGTTCTGGATATAGGAAGGAGCACGTTCGAGGGCTTGGAGGTAGAAGGCCAACCATGAGGAACCTGCGCATGTTCTATTGCAAGCACTATCCAAAGCTCCAACGAATCTCTTGTCTTGTGCGAGACGTGGAGTGCTCTTGGGGTCGGTATGGTGTTGCGTGAGGACTTCGAACAATGGGCGATCCCATGAATCGCCGGCGGCCACTGTCATGACCTCGTGGCCCATGTCATCAGGTTCTTCAGGAGCCACATGTTCAGTGTTCAGGGTCTCGGTGACACGGACCTGCTTCGTCATCTGGCTCTTAGGCTTTCCTTTGGGTCGAGCCAGGCCAGCACCAGGGGCCTTGCAGCCTGCATCACCAGCCCAGTGTCCCGTCTCACCACAATCGAAGCACTTTGTAGTGCTCTTTTGGCGAGGGACTTGATTGCCATGGGGCTTCGTCGAACGAGGAGCCGGTTGGCCAGGCTTTCCATATCCACGGTCTTTCTTGACCTCAGCTATTTTGGTGCGTGCTTCACGCATTGTCAACAGACTCTCTGCGGCCTGTTCCATGCCGCTCTCCAAATCTTCAAGCACTCGAGGGTCGCAACCTTCAGTCTCGAGCTCCTGCAGCTCTTGGGCAAGAAGCTCAGCTTCGGTCTGGAGGACTTCTTCGATCGTCAGGTTCTCAGGAGGGTAACCCTGACCATCATCGTCTGGAATCAGCTCTTCATCTTCCGCCTCCATCTGGCCTTCCTCTTCAGGGGCCTCGGCAATCAAGGCTTGTCGAGGTTGAGTCTGCTGGCCAAAACGCTTGAAAGGTGGCCGGCTGGAACCAGAGCTCTGAGTCCGGAAGGAGCGAGAAGAGGGAGCCGTCGAGCTGGCTGTAGTCGAAGGCCTGTAGGACGAAGAGGAGCTGTGTCTGTCATGAGACTGTAGGAAACGCTGGAGTAGTGGTGCCTTGTCAAAAGGTCGGCTCTTGTTCAAAGGGTCGGAGGAGTGCAAATCTCGAAACAGACGAAGGCATTCTGATTCGACCACATCATAGTTCTCCCGACCTGCCAATGCTGTCTCCAACAACTGCTTCCTGATTGCATCCAGTCCCAAACGTTCTTTCAACATCCAGCCTAACTCCTCCTCCGGCATCACTATGCCTTCCCGCTTGAGCTCAGCTGCAAGGGTCCGGAATCTCGTGCAAAATGCTGAGATTCTCTCTCCAGGGCTGCGTTTGATTTCTTGGTAGTAAAGGGATCGGAGTTCTCCCTTTCTATCTAAAGCTGTCTTCCCAACCGTGGCCTCCAAGGCAGTCATGAGTTTCTTGAGGCCAGCAAAAGGGTCTGCAGCAACCCGAATCACCTTGTCGCCGGTGTCAGGATCGGTCATGGCTTCTTCCTTGGTCCCTTCAAGATCCTGGGGATCGAATTCTTCACAACGAGCCCTGACCACACCATATTGTCTAAGTGCCCATCGGGCGGCAACATTGAACTTCTTGCAGGATTCTTCATCCAGCGAAGCCATCCACCAGTTCATCTCCCGGCGGAACTGTCGCCATTCCGCCGGGTTGCCCGACCACGTCGGCACCCGGTACCAAGAGCTGGTGCCGGATTCTTCGGCTGAAGTCATCTTCACGGCCAAAATGGCCAAAAACAAAAGTGAGGCTGCTGCAAGGTGTTCAAGGAGCTCCGCAAGTTCTGAAGCTCTCCAAAGAAAAGGTGGTCTTAGACCGAAAGTGAAGTTGCGCAACAACGGTAGGGCCCAAAGCAAAAGGAGGGTCTATGTACCCCCAAAGGTCACTCCAACAAGGCACTGCTCGGCGGCAAGGGCACAGTGAAGTGGTTCAAGAAAAAGGTGTCCACAAACAAGAGAATCTAGTTATTCTCAAAAGGTTGGCACCGACCACGAAGTCCAGAGCGTCTGGCTCGAGGTCGTGTGGAGCAGCCCAGAAGCTTAGCTTGAAGGCCACGAAGACGAGGAGAAACGAGGCAAAGCGAGGCGAAGCAAAGCAAGCAACGGCGGAGTGCAATGCCCAGATCGAGATAGGCTCCGGTGCCACTGTAGACGCACTAGCAAGAGCGTCTGCCAGCGCGCCGTTTTCACCTAAGGCGCAGCACGAAATGGCTTCAGGCCTTGATCCAAGCGAACATGAACAACCATGTTCCTCCGCATGCCCAACACCGAAGAGCAAACTCAACTTTCACAAAGCTATATAAAAGGAAGAGATAATTAATAAGGAAGGAGAAGGCTTTCTTTGAGGCCTTTTGTCATGGACTTGGCTACCTCTTCCTAGTGTGCCCACTGTGTGGTTTGAATGCATTCTGTCCTACATGTAACACGAAGAAAGAAAACGAAAAGCATAAAGAAAAGCCCTCATTCCTCATGTAAGAATCGAATGCTCTCTTGGTCGTCTTCATTTAAAGGATGGAAATGTTCGTTGGCTCTTGTCCGCAAGATGCGGCAACTGGTGTTGAGCCAAGAACTTGGGACCTGAGACCTTGGAACCCTAATAGCGATGGCCTCCAACTTACTAGCGATGGCCTCCGACCTACTAGTGATGGCTCCAACGCTTCAGAACGGGGGCAAATCCTCAAAGTCTGACCATCTGCAGCCATGGTCTGAGCCAAGACTGACACTGAATGCAAATTGTTGTGCGTTTTAGCGCTTGGCAGCTAAGCTGTCTATTCTTCCTGGATTGGAAGATTGTTGTCATCTTGACGGATTCTCACCAATTGATCAATCTCCAAATGCGAAGGCACGAGATTGATCAATATGTGGATTGATTGCTTCTTCTCACTGGCTTTGTGGATGTGTGCCGAGTTGCTGTTGACATCCCACTTTGTCTTTTGCAAACTGGCACCACGGTGATGAAGGTCTTTTGAATGGTGACATTCCACTCGCAAACTTCTGATTGATTACTCTCGAGAGCACTTGTGGAATGGTGTGCGGCTATGGCTTCGTTGCTTCTGGCCGTCGCCGCCGTCGCCTGCTCGGCCCTCTCAGCAGCTGGCACCTGAGAGGCGTGCGGCGCTGCCTGCCGACGCACCACAGCTGCAGCACTTCGCCCTGCAAACACCGCCGATGCTGCCATTCGGACGGCCGCGGCCCGTGCTGCTGCAAGCTGGTCATCCATGGTGTCTAAACCGAAAGCACTGCAGGAAAAAACATCTTGGATGTCACTACGTAACAAGCACGGCTTCCTTTGCAACAGTACTCTGATTTAAAGGTGGTTCTGGGACTTCACTACTACTTGCCACTGCCACTGACAAGAATACTGCCTCACAAACCAAGTGAGCAACCAAACCAAGAAACATCAAGAAACCACCATTGACGAGCACCACACCTGCTGGAACTTGAAGTCCTTCCTGCACATCTCTAGCAGTGTCCGAACATGACCTTGCATTTTGCATACTCTCTTTTCTGCCTGGGGCTCAGCATCCAATCGCGGTTTCTTCTCCGGAGGCCTGCCAGTCCCAGCATTTGGCAGCAAAAAGTGAGTGCGCATCGCCATCAAAACTAGGATCCAAACTCGCCGTTGCTTGGCACTGACGACTCCATCGGGTCGATGTCACCATTGATGGGGACAACCTGTGGTCATCGATGTCATCTTCTTGGAGACTTGATGGCCACACCAAGTGCCCAACTCGCTGGAGGTCTCGGCCTGATCAATACCACCATAAATTACCACCATCCATAAAGGTTTGAGTTCATGTGGGATTTATGTCGCCTCAATCGTGCCACACGACATCTTGAACATAATCGGACAAGAAAGTCAACAGCTTCCAAGGGCACTGGGTTGAAAGTAGAAACAAGTGCATCGCTAGTAGTAACAAGTGCCTTACTAGTAGTAACAAGAAGCTAGTAGAAACAAGTGCATCGCTACTAAGGGCACTGCGTCGAAAGTAGAAAAAGCTGTTGTTCGGCCCCTTGACCTCACAGCGTGGGAAGCATGTTTAATCTCCCATGCCATGCCTCGTGGTCCATGCCTCCCGGTGGGCTCCATCTGCACGGACGGCATATTTGTCCTCTAGAAAATAGGCCTGGAAGTCTGGAAGTGGGAAAGCGAAAAATTGAATTGCTAACTGGCTTCAACTAAACCCTTCTGATCCTTCTGCGAGGAACGTTTTAGTCCGCGACCCGAGTGACCACGCCCTGGCGGCCATCACCAAAGATCACGGCCTCATCTCGTCCCAACGAAACTCAGCATGAAATCTGGGATCTACTAGGAGCAAGGACGCTACTAGGAACAAGTGCATCGCTTCGAGTAACAAGTGCGCTACTAGGGGCTCCTGGCATCGCTACTAGGAGCAAGGACGCTACTACTGGGATCTGTCATGAGATCTCCAGACCGTACCCAAGTGAGGACCCATTCAGGACCCTGAGTCAATCGGGCACTCTTACTCAGCATGTCAATGACAAATTGCAACTTGAAGTGAACGGGTGAGGATGTGGTGGCTGCTTGGCCCGTGGGGGCACCCATTGGCTGATTGGTTCCTTTGACCCAGTACCATGCTTGTTCCTAGTAGCGATGCCCTTTGTTCCTAGTAGCGTCCTTGCTCCTGGTAGTAAGGCCAGGAGCCAGATGATTGGCCTTTCTTGTGGCATTTGCGGTTCGAGCAGTTGAGAACCCTTTATGAACAGACGCGTGGGCAATTTCAAATCCGCGTTGTCCATGTGCCTTTGCAAATCTGGCTAGGCAAAGACTTCTTGCAGGCTTGTCGCGCTGCTCAGCAGAATGTGCGCGCTAGCCCGGACTTCTTTGTCCGTGGCTTAAGCTAGTAGTGTGCTGTTGATTCGATGAAACAAGCAGATCTTCTACACTGCACCCTTGTGCAGCTCGGATTCAGAGTGATGTAATTGGAGGAAGGGGTCGTTCATTCAAATACATGTAGGATGAAGGCTCACGAGGGCTTAGACCAACAGTAAGGAATGCTAGCACCAAACAGTCGGCGTTGACAAATCACATCTTTGCAAAGACTTTACCGCTTACCCTGTCTACTCAGTTGGCTGTTTAAGAAAACAACTTTAAGGAAGCGAATAGCGATAGCCTCCACCCTAGTGGCGATGGCCTCTCTTTGTTTGTCATGTTAGTTTTTTGCTGGACCGCTGGACTCAGTGACTCAGTGCGCTCCATCTGGGTGTTAGGGTGAATGAGCTCCCAGACCTCTCCCCGCTGGAGCGGTGGCTCAAGGGGCTCCGCCACCTCGGCAAAAAGAAACAAGAAAAAAACAAAAGCGTTCTTGTTTCTAATAGCTTCTTGTTACTAGTAGGGAGGAGCCCCTAGTAGCTTCTTGCTCCTAGTAGTATGGCCAGGAGCCCCTGGTAGCGTCCTACTATTTGGAGTTTTCAAAGAAACCAGATGGGTTTAAGGTAAGGTGCCAGGGTGCGACTGCAATTTGTTGAAATTATGCATATTGACAGCCTGCAAATCCTCTGTCCACAAGCTCGCAATGCCAATGAAAACGCATGGCCGTTTCAATCTCTTAAGGTTTTTTCCCAAAAGTTGCATCCCCCATGCCAGCAATACCGATACCAAAAGCCCTAAACTTGCCATGCAACGACCTTAAGTCTGACTCGTCCAAGTCAAGCGGCTGCAGAACCCTCTGGATCTGGCGCTTTTGCCTCCATGAAGCACCCGCCCAGCTCATGCCGGGCACAAAACCGGACGCAATGACCTAGCTTGCATGTGACATCCCGTTGATCACATTGCATGTGCGCAGTTTGGGAAGCTAGCCTTTGCACACCAGATGGCTGTAAGAAATCGTTACTCGCTAAACTGGTGACAACTGCAACATGCAAGTCGGGGCAGCGAAGGATACCATCTGAAGTCAGAACAAAGCAGGCCTTCGTCTGTTCTTTGGGGTGATGTACATCAAAAACATGTGTCCAATGCCATGCCCACCCCCTTCTTTGAGCCAACAGCAGCTGCAAACTCCACATCGACAAGCTGAGACACACGTGGTCATAAGCAATCTGCAAATACCAATTCGCATGGTGCATTGTCAATACAAGAAGGTATATCGCGGTACTTATCACTGTATACCCCAGGAGTCCAATGCTCAGCGCTTTACAAAGATGTTTCAAATAAGCCCTTAGATTCCTGGGCCGTCCAAAGCTTCTTCGGAGCTTTTCAGAGCTCCCCGGGGTGCAGTTTCCTAATGGCTTACAAGAATCAACGCCTAAATTTAAATAAACAAAAGTCTTGCTTCCAACGCCTGTCTAGTTTAGCTCAACTAAACATCAAGTCCAGAACTCACTAATTATATATTCATTTCCTTGTGCCCCTCGCCCTCAAAGCCCTCACCTTCAATTTTCAACCCAAAGGGCCATCTGCCCGGCTACCTTCCGCAGTGTACTCAAGCCTGACAGACAAATCATGACAAATCCAACTGACCTCTTTGACAAAATAAATCAAGCTACGAGGGGCTCCTGGCCTTACTACTAGGAGCAAGAACGCTACTAGGAGCAAGCGCCGCATGGTCTTAATGGTTTCAATGGTGCCTGTACCGTCTGGCGGCAGCACACTCCGCATCAAAGAGCGCAGCTCCAAAAGCTGCGGCCTCCCAGATGTCCGGCTCAAAAACTGAAAAAAATAAAACCGACTTCGAGGTAAAGAACCTTTAAAAAGAATTGAAGCACTCCTTTTGTTAGCCCACATTGATTTGTTATAGTCCGCTAGCTCATTTTCGCGAAACTGGAGAATAGAATCTATCCTCTAAATCCCGTTTTCATCCGTTTTCTATCGTTTTCCAGTTTGACAGCGACAGCAGTGGTGCAGCACCCATGGATCAAAGAAATGACAAACCAGCCTCCAGGCTCAGGCGTCTCCGAGACTCATCTGAGCGAGAAAGATGTAAGAAACTCATTCAAGACATGTCCAAGGAGAAAACACCAAGACTTATCCAAACAAACCTGGTCAAACACCTCAAGCTGTCCCGCGCCACATCTCGGTCTCACCGTGAAAATTCGTGGTTCAAACGTGTGAATAAACGCGTTCCAACCGCGTCAGACGAGTCGGAGCCACAAGTTAGAGTCGCTTTGGGCCTGAGAGTTGGAGCTGAGCAATCGCGTTTGGGCCGTAATCCAGCTGCTTCAGTAGTTCCGCCTGCCACGTCTCGCTGACATCCTCTTGTCCTCCCTATTGGCATCGCTTCTTGGTTCTAAAGTCCAACGGAAAGAAAGAACAATAATGAAAAAGGACACATGACGTCCTTGGAATCACACGTTTTCTTTTGCCCTTTAACCACCAGGCCGAAGTTTGGAAGATGATACAGCCCCGCCTCACTCCCAAAGAGATCCGTGGCATGATACTGAAGAGCACGTTGAGATTCTTTGGTTGCCTCAGCAGCAACAGCCAAGTTGCACAAGGCACCGCAGGGCATCGCAAGGCTGCAGGGCTGTTGGCATTCTGCAGGTTCCTCTTCCCCCTTCAAACCCTTAAGCCCTGCACAGCCCTGGCCAGCTCAACAGCCGCTGTTGGGGTCAAAGACCTCCACCATGCGCCCCCACACTGCATATCAATTGAGTCGAAATCTTTGAGGTCACACTTTCCGAAATGAGCATGGCACTCCATCCAATCTGATAAGCTACTTGCTCCTGCATCACCAAGAAGTGAAGAAAAGGTAACCAAAGAAGTGTCAAAGCGTTACCACTAGGCCCTTCCAAGACTTCCTTGGCCAAGGTTCCTCTCCAATTCAAGGCCTGAGCGCAGCTCATGTTTGAGCTTAAATGGCGTTTGGAGGCTTTCAAGTCAACACCTTGAAGCGCCAAACCTATCATGCAAAAACATGTATTCCATAGTCCATCCTTTGGCACCCCAGCGTTGCAAACTTCGTTGCAAAAAGTAACCAAAGCGAGCAGCCGAAATGAAGTTTTGTCGAGCCAGCAACACCTCAACGCAAATTTGACAATCTGGAACATTCATTGAAACACATTGAAACATTCACAAGAAAGCTAAGCAGAACCGGATTTCAAGTGCCGGCAGTTGGTGTAATCGCTCCATTGTTGGTCTCTACTCTTGGTGACCGGATGCTCTTGGGGTTCCCACACTTCCTCGAAGGGCCAATTGCAAAGCCTCCTAGGAATTGATGTATGGAAATTGCTGACAACATCATACGAACAAAGGCACACCCCAAAGGTTATGGCCCGAACTGGTTCTGCCTCAACTCTCTCTTTTGCCTCTTCCGCTGCTTGTCTTACCTCACGTCCAAATCTGCAACATCTACGAGATGCTGCTCACTTTTCAAACTGAAGTCACATTGTACACTACACTGGCAATGTGGTTTTCAAGGACCTCTGTCTCGCCAGCAATCTCGTCGAGTTGGCGGAGGTACAACTCAGCCTAGCACCAGGAATGGCTGGAAACTGCAACACACACGGTTTCTGATCACTTTAGTTGGGCCAGCCAGGGGTGAACGAAGGTAGAATGATATTTTGGGGTGGTCAATGTTCTTCTGAGGAGTCTCTTCTACCAGGTGTGTTTGTTGAAGAATTGCGTGGCACAGAAGCATGCAAAGTACTGATGGCAAAGCGGTGTGTTTAGAAGCTTCGGCCGCTTTCTTGCATCTTTGCTTTCTTGCTGCCTTGCATGCTAGTTTGCTGTCTCCCTCCCTTCCTTCCTTCCTTCCTTCCTTGCCCCTTCCTTCTACCTTGCTTCGTTACTTCCTTGTTTCCCAGCGCTTTCTTCTTGAACCCCTTCCTTGCAGTCCTGACCTGACAGAGCAGCAAAAGCGACAAATTATATTAGATAAACAAACGAGAAAGTGAAGCAAGCAAAAATAACAAACCCCAGAAAAAGGATGAAAAAGAAGAAAACAGTTCTCGCGAAACTGGCAGGGCCTTTAAGCAACTGGAAGATTAGAGGGGGTTTTCAACTACATGAGTGCACTTTGTCAATTGAAAGTCTTGGTCAAATTTCAATAGGCTGTTAGTTCAAACCTGTTTCAATGCCGCTTTGGTTTTGTTGCTTTTTCTGGCAAGTGTGGTTGTCGTTCGACCCGTGTGTTTTTTTTACTGACTGATTAAGTTCGATGGTTTTCTGATGACTTCACTCCTCTGGCTCATACCCAGAAGAGTTGTAAAGTCTTCACAACTGGGCTCGCACGAGTTCTGACCGTGTTCAATGATAAATATACTAATGTCTTTGCCAAAGGAGATGAGGAAAAGATCTGGACATGCAGCAGTTAAGCTGAGGATTGCTGCCAGCGGGGTGCGAAGTAGAGGGCACAAGCAATGATTTGTGAAGGCACTGCATATGAGCCCGGTGGGTTGGGGAGAGAGAACACATCAAGACACGTCCTGTTGATTGTGGCTGTGACCAATGTGCCAGCATCTTCTTCTCCACATGTTGCCTCGCGCATGTCCAGTAGCTATGGGGAGCACGTCTGGTCCGGGCAAGTCTACTTGCAGATCATGTTCGACCCAATCATCGCTTAGGCTTCCTGGTCGTAGAGAAGACCAAATGGATGTGGTCAAGGAACTCGCAGGCGGGGCTTATGTTGAAGGCCATCGCCATTAGGTTGGAGGTTGCTATTGAAAAGGAAGACAGAATCGGGTCTAAGTCTAATAATGTCTAATATAGTTTGCTATCTCGAAGCTGAGGATGTTTGCTGGCTGGCGCAGGCGCCCAAAATGCAGCAGAGTCTTCTAGTAGGGGAGTTTTGGAGCATTCGGAGAAGGATGCAGGACAGGTGCCATTTTGGGGTGGCTGGACCTTGCAGTCGCACTGTTCAAAGAAGGATTGAAGACAAGATGCCAGCTGATGCATTGAGGGTATGACTCGCGGGGGAGGTCGAAGACGTGAATGAAGAGGAGGCCCTCCTGTGCTCCCAATCAAGCTCTTAATGATTCTGGGGCAGGAAAAATTCTGGAATGCTTGGTCCGGAATGTGAGTCAAGGAGGACCAGTCTGCCGGGATCCTGGTCTTAGTGCGGGATGGCTAAAAATCCGGTGAGGGCATCAAGACGGGTACCTTTTTGGTACAGCTGTCTTGGGGGGGCGTCCCCTCGATCCAGAAAGCATTGGTCAATGAACGCTGAGGTAAGGGAGGCTCAAGTATCTGGAGTCGAGGGAGGAGGAGGAAACACGAGAAAGAAGGCATGGAAGAGAAAGACACCTGAAATGGGCCACTACTTTGAAAGCGGCGCGGTGCCCGGAAGAAGGTGCGCGGAGTGATCTGAAGCTACAGTGCGCATAAAAAAGGAGCACTCCACCCCCATCAGTGAGGAGATTACCCATACGACACCTCGCCAAGATGCGGAGGGTGGAGAGAAGTAGAGCCCGAGGCAAAGGGTTCATGAAAGACTTTCAGACATCTGTTGCGTGCAGTTGCGACTCCTTGTGAAGCTTTAAACAGCCGAGGTGTTGCGAAACGTCCTTCAGATAGAGCTCACTGCAGTCTCAAGCCTCATGAGTACACATTCCGAAGTTGCATTGAATGCTGAGTCCGAGGATGTTTGAAGTCCATGGTTTCCTGGAGCCTGAGAGCCCCAAACCAGTCATGAGCAGTAGCACAGTACATCAGGCTCAAGGGAGACAGCAAACTAAAAGTTGGAAGAGGATTCAAGAAGGAAGGGGGAAAATGTAGTAGCTCAAATAAGGAATGGCAAACACAATGGTTGGAACCCCAGCTATCATTGACTGAAAGCTTTGAAATGTTGCAAGAGATCTGCGTTGGTTATTGCACTGGACATCAAAAACCAGGCGCCTGCCAGAAGGCCTGACCTGCAGGAGAGAGTCGCTCTACCTCAAACCGTCACAGGTTCAACATGTCTTTTCGGATCCGCGTAGATCCACCTGCGACAGGAAGTTGAAAACCAGCCGGGCGTCATCGCCAAGGAAATCGAGGAGCGCCTCCTGCACAAATCTCTCCGTCTCTCCGTCAGGCTCTTTCGTCCAAAGCTCGTCCTCGGAACCTCGTAGTGGTGGGATGTCTACATACTTGGCAGGAACTGTGTAGGGCCGTAGCCTGTCAAAGTGGCTTGCTGCCGATGTGCATCTCAGTGAGTTGCACGGGTGCTCCGAATATAGTTTCTTGGAATTTGACCGGAATGTGACAGAATGTGCCAACAAATTAGTTGCACGTGATTTTGTGCTAGGTTGGAGGCCATCGCTATTATTATGTTCCTTACACGTGTTATTTGTAAAACTCTCGTTTCTGAGACTTCGAGCACGAAAACCGACAAACTGAAAACTCTGCTGTGCCAAGTGAAGATTGAAAGCGGCTAAATGTGAACATGAAACTGATGCCGAACCAACCAGCGTCAAACAAACCGGAAATGGGGTCACTGAGCCAAAAGCAAGATCAGGACCGACATATGAAAACCGTTTTGGTGTATGGAAGCTGCGTTTACACATACTGGGGCCGTCTGTGCTGTGTCCAAGCAGGTTATTGGCTGCAATGCCATTGAACTACTAGTATCTGTAAGTCTGCATGGTGTGCGTCTTTTGGATCCAAATCCATGCCATGTCATTATCTGTGCATTGTCCTGTTGCTGCCATGAGAAAACTTTACTTCGAACTATCCCCAACCGCCCAGGTACACTGGTATGATGACTGGGTCGGCTGACTGCCTAGGCATCCCTTGGAATCCCTTGGACAACGGTTACACTCGGCCTTGTCATTTGTGTCATTGCGTGTTGTCCGGTTTGTTGTCAAGTCGTAAACGTGTTGTGGTTCACTGGCCTGGGTGATGCACTGCAGCAAAGGCGGGTTGTCTATTTAAATCTAGCTACCCCAATCAACGGTTTCTCAATTTATGGGCGGTGCAAAACCGTTTCTGACTCAACTCCGGCCTGTCTAGCGCACTCTCAGCCATTACAGCAGCTGCTCTCCACGATCGCTGAGCGAAAGCAGAATTCAGCAGAGAGGAACCACAGCTAAGTGAAATTGAAGAGCTCAGCATCAAGTCTCTTAAGTCTGTTGAAGTCTTTTGCCATGACCACTTGTGCTACTTTTGCCATAAGAAACGAAACCAATGGCGACTTCAACTTGAGCAAATTCGACGACAAATTGGCATTGGGATGCCTCGTCTGCAGCGCCTCGGAAGCAGCATCTTGAACTCATTGGCTGAGAGTTCGACAGGTCACAAGAAAAGGCGTTTGTAAAAACGACGCCGAAACCCTACCAATTGTTCTATCTTGTTTAATCTCTTTTTCCCCCGGCCCGTCATGGCCCATCACTCAGGTTTCTGTCTTCACAGGCCGGGTAGCCCACTTAGACTTGAAACTGAGGGAAGTAGATCGTCAATTTGCGTCTCCACTTTGAGGCATCTCAAGACTCATCGTAGCCAGAATGGGTTTGGGGTGAGTCAAGTTGATTATGGGATGTTATTCAATGGCCAGGACGGGGAGGGACTGGGCTAGCTTTCATGCAAAGACCTGCCCTAAGGAGTTGCTCAGGCACCCAGAAGCCGAAGCCAAAGATTGTCTCCACGGAGGCCATTGCTCTAGTTCAAGCACTGCCTTTGTATCGACGAATTGCATATACTAGTATCGTCCTTGATGCGTCCTTGCTACTACTACCGATGGCCTCCAACCTAGAAGCGATGGCCTCCGCCTAGTAGCTTCTTGTTACAGTACTAATGCATATGTTTTTCAATGGAAGTCCTCACCAAAACAACACGGGTTGGGGCGGCCCGGTGCGAATAGAAATGGCGCTGTGGCGCTGAGCAGGCTGGTGGTGCTGTCACGCTGTTGGCGTGGTGTGGCGCTGTGTGGTGCAAACTAGGTCTCGCAAAGGATGGTATCCAGTAGCTTCCCAGCTGGCAGCTTCGCAGCTCCAGTCAATCTTTCCTGACCCAACCTCAAAAAAGCACTCGGATGGAGACACACATTCATGATCTGATCTACTTTCTTTCACTTCGTCAATTGTGTATGTAGGCTAAGGTGGGCTAGGTGGGCTCGAGTGGTGAAGACAGAAACGAGCAAAAAAATAATGATGCAGGCCGCTTGGTGTGTGGGGAGCTGCAGCCGCCAGACTGAGAACACCACAACCCGAACCTACAAAGTCTTCGTGTATTCTTCGTGTCGCTTCTTCTTTTCTTTGTCTTTTCAGCTTCCAATTCAGTCTTTCTATAGATCCTTTCAGTTCTGGGTTCTATACAATCTTACTTTTTGGTTCGCTATAGCCACCCATCGTGTCTTTCAATGTTTGTGTGGCAAACTCTGGGTTCCGGCTGTCAGTCTCGGTGGCATCCGCCTTCCCAAGTTTCTCGTGTGCTAAGGCTGCTCAAATCCCTGGTGTTCATTCTAGCTTCTTGTTACTACTAGTAAGGCACTTGTTACTAGAAGCGATGCACTTGTTACTAGTAGCTTCTTGTTTGATCATACTTCTTTGCCCACCTCATCTTGCAGCATAAGCCATTTCGCATCTGCCCGCGCTAAGGCATCAGCCAGCGCACGTTGGGGAGCCTCACGCTTGAACGATTTGGAACCGTCTAACGGGTCAGATCACTCCAGAAGAACTCCCCACTTGGATCAGCACTTCACGCCAGAGATTTCGCTCCTCAGGACTCTCCTGGGGGGGGGGGGGGAGAAAGCTACTAGGAACAAGTGCATCGCTTCTAGTAACAAGTGCCTTACTAGTAGTAACAAGAAGCTACTAGGAACAAGTGCCTTACTAGTAGTAAAACATGGAAAGGTAAGCGCAAGAAAGATGTGTTTGGCCGGGCGTGTGTTCAGATTTGCAGTAAGCCTTTCCGGGTGTCCCTTTCCCGGCCTCAGAAGCCTGGCGACCCAGGGAAGAGCATTCTCTTCGGGCTCGTGGACCTCCTCAACACATGCATTTGTCGTTTGTTCCTTTTGTCACCTGTCTACTAAGCCTAGCCTACTAGCAGATAGCTTGGAGGCCATCGCTCTTAGGTTGGAGGCCATCGCTTTCTTTGAGTTCCTCTTGGAGCTATCCATGTCACCATCCGATGACCCAAAAGGCTTGCCACCAATACCTCGAGCAACTAGCAGCGAGTGCTATCAGACCGCCCACTATCAGGTCACTACCAGCACTTCAATCTCAGCACAAGGAACGAATCCATAAAGTCTCAGCGTTCCAAAATCTCTCGCCATGGCGTCACATTCCCAAATGGTTGGACAAGTCCCCCAAATGAATGAAGCTGAGGCTTGGTCTGCCGCAATCACTACATGTTCTCGTCATCTACCTGTCGTTCTCTCTCCTCTGGATCTCTGTCTGGACATTTTTGAACACCTACGAACTTACAAGTTTGCTAGTGTCCACTTTTACTAATGTCATCTAATGTCTACAGCTTGGAGCCACTCGTGCAGCGCATGATAACAAGAAGTCAACACAAGGTGGCAAATGGGTGAGAGGCTGGCAAACATGCGAACCCTTAAGCACAAGAGTGAGATGCTCAATTGTTTGCTCTCTCTTTTCCTGGTTGTTCAAGGCTCCTTGGGTTCTTTGCGAGCACGCTTCCGTTGATATTCTTCCAGCGCGGCACTGGCATCGTTGATTTGACCGATATTGGTCAAAGTCCGATGCTCCACCGCGTTGAGTTTGTTGGTGAACTTGGAACATTGGAAGTTCACACTCTTGAGGTGCTCCATGGCTCTGCTAACTTCTTGCTGCAGTTCTTGCAGGAATTGATCTGCCGGTTGCTGCTGCACAAAAAGCCGCACACTCTGCACTTGAGCTGGAATCCAAGGTGAGTGTAGGACTTGGATTGGTAAAAGAGATAAATCAATTGCCAAAAACATCTGAAACAAATCTTCTTCGTGCTCTGCACTCCAAACCCCGTTTGGTCGGCACAAATCTCGATACGTTCCCTTCAAGTATTCCAATGCTTGGCGAACTAAACCAGCATCTTCGCACAAAGGCCAACAAGCCAAGTCCCAAAGTATCTTGAGCTTACCGATTTCACAATACGAATTCTTAGCAACTTGCGAAGCACTCGAAGGTTGTTTGTGGTCGGTGTTGTTAACCTGCAAGTGCGTCAACGTCAACCACAAATGCCTCATAATCACATGACGCCCGTAATGCAAAATTGGTTTGTCAAGCATAGCTCGGCCCTCCATCATCGTCCTCCGTAAGAGGTCAATGGTCAACAAGCCCTCGTCCCAAAGGCAGCTGCCAGTGACTTCCACAACCTGTGGCTGTGGAGAGCACACGTCGTCTTCGGGTGCCATCTTGCGCAAGAGTTTGCGGGAATCACTCCCGGAGGACGAAGATGAACTGAATGAATGTGGCAAAAAGCCTTGCTGGAAAAGAAAAGAGACGTGGAAAAGGCGTCGTCCCAAATATTCCAACCTCCATAAACAGTGCTGTCCAGCCCAATGATCTGGACACCTTCGCTCAGGCCCCATCTGAGTGGTGTGGACGTGTGCACCGGAGTTTGCTTTCTTCCCTGCATCCATGCACGCACCCAGGATTTCGTTCATCAGTTCACTCGCCAGGATGAGATGGCAGTGATCCCAATTCAGGAATTCTGCAAGTAAAACATGTTCAATAATGTCAGAAAGCTCCTCTGCTTCCAGCTGCCTGTAGCGGCACAAGACACGCAAAAGGGCATTGGAAGCACTTGGATGTGCAACCACATCAACCAACCAGGCTGGTGGCACAGGCGCAGGGTCCGACGCAAGTTTCTGCATCAGCTCATTTTCAGCAAAGGTGCGCTTGAAGATGTCCCGCGCGCGACTAACACCTTCACCGGGAGAACCGGCACCGACTCCCGAGCGGCTCAACAAAAGAAGAACCCGCACCAACAATGCAGACCAATTTGGTGAGAGCCGCTCAGTGTCCACATAGGCCATGAGTTCACGGAAAACCAGAAGTGTTGAGTCCTGCGCAGTCTCCACCAGATCTGCAGGCAGATCATCATGCACCTCTTTCGCTTCACCAGAATCAGAAGTTTACCAGAAACATCCGACTGTGAGAAGGTTTAAAGGTCTAAAGAACTGACAACAAACAAACAAAGGATGAGAAAAAACTGGTTGCATGGCATGTACACTAGGTGCTTCTTACTTACCCTTTCTGTCTTAGAGGAAACCAGGGGGCCGGGAGGAAGCCCATCTATTTGCGGGATGAAGCCACTACTACTACTACTACTACCCAACGCGTGGGGCTACGAGGGCCAGCCGGCCACCTGCCCCAACGACCAGCGAAAGGGTGTGCCCTGAAAGCTGGACGGCTCTCATCTTGCTTGCTGGTTGACGAGGCGGATGGAAGACGAGACACAGCCACTTGTCACGGCCAAGATGGTCAAGGATAGGTAGGTGGAGTTCCAAGAACTATATACTTTACTGAAAGTTTCCAGGAGGGGAAAGGGGGAAAAAGGATGAAAGTGCTCGAGTGCTCGTGAAAACGGCGATTCATTCCGCTTACGAATTGCCGCATGGCTGACATCGTTTTTTGCATCCAAGACTTCGTCTTGCAGCTGGGGGCGGCTAATCTAGAGCCGACAGATTTGCCCAATGAGGTGTTGTGGTCACAGTTGCTTCACGGAGTTCTTTCGCTGCCAGGAATGTGATGCTACTAAGTGCGCGGCGATATTTTGTTGGGAGTATGAAGAAATATATATTGAAAGATTTGAGCTCACTCCGTAGGTCACAAACTGGGTTGAATACAGCGTTCTTGTGCAGGATGTTTCGTTGGCGTTGGTTATTCAAAGACCACCCCGCAGCAACGTTGAACATTGACTAGTGACTAGGTAGAATTACAAAAAATATCGTCTGGCAGCTGCCTGGTCTTTTTGTCAATTGCCTTTGTTTAAAGAATTTGCATGGCCTGCCCTTGACATTGAAACCTCCACATGAAATAGGCACATCATGCTTGGCATACGTCAGCAGTCTACTAGAGGGTGGTTTCTTCAACAAGGTTCCCTCTGAATTCAGTGAAGTCCAAAGGCAAAAAGGTGAAGTCACCTGCCCTCCTTGTGTTGGAAAGCTTCAAGAATGTGGTAGGTTGGAGGCAGTAGGCTGGAGGCCATTGCTATTAGGGTGGAGGCCATCGCTATCAGGGTGAAGACCATTCCTGCGGCGTGAAGGGGACGCGTGAAGCTGCCCTTCCAGTTCACCACTCTCGACACCCTGTTCATGCGGTGGCTGCGGTCGCGAGGAAGTTAACTGTTTAATTCCTGTTCAAAAAATGCTGTGGTCTGCTCTGGTATTAAGGTCAACTGCCACACTGGCCCACGCTTTGCGTTCCACTTTCAGACTTCAGGTTTCGGCCTTGTTTCTACGCAGCATGCAGTTGCGCCAGTGCCCGGACTGGTCCCGAGTCTCATCAGAATCAAGAAGACAATTCATGCAAGATTCGCATCAACGCTGCTCTGTTTGAAAAGGCCTGTGACCAACCCGAATCCCCATAAACTGACACAAAGCATCCATAATGGGGCGGCATGACAGGGCACAGTCGGGCACTGTGGCCATCCTCCCAAAGGTTAACACGTTTTGAAACTGTTCACGTCCGGTCTCCAGCTCCATGCTGTAAGAAACGATAAGATAAGGACATATATTATACAAGGCTATTATACAGAACCTTTCAACGGTTGTCGTTTTGGAGGCGGCTTGCCCACATTCCCGTTAGAAAGGACGACCCAAGATGTTGGTTTCAAACATTTTGTGGAAGCGTTCCCAAAAAATCTTCGTGCGAGCTTCTTCAAGGAAGCTCCCCCCGCCGCCTTTAGGGAGGCAGGGGGAGCATCCTTGAAGAAGCGTGAGCACTGCGTCCAGTAGCTAGCAGGGTACCTAGTAGCTACACCTCTTCTTCTACCATCTTCTGCCTAGCTACTTAGCTACCTCTAGTGGCCTACCCCCCCAAGAAAAAACAGTATCCTCGCCTCTTCATCCTCCTTAAACTCTCCTGCCATCGCAGCCTGCTTCTGTAGGACCTCCGATGGTGCAGCTGAGGCGAGGCGGCGGCGCATACAGCGCAGCGCGAAGAAGTGCGAATCCCACGCAACTTTGGCGCGCAAAGGCTTGTCCATCAAGTTCCTTGGAGAGTAGAACTCTGCTAGAACTCTGCTACATGAACATACCAAAGAACACACAAATCCAAAGCAAACAAGAAAAAAACAGTTGCAAGTCTTGAAGCAGAAAGCCCGCATTTGAATCTAAAGCCTGAGGTTCTTCCACAGAGCGCTCACTGGTTGCATGGCACTGGAGACGAAGCCCGATTCCTCTTCTCGAAGTCGCCGAAGGCGCAAGAGCTCCGAGCAAACCCGGAGGCTTCCGGTGGCCAAGCGCGGTCCGAGAACGAAATCTCCCCCATCCAACTGCGATGCCAAGGTCAGAGCGGCCTTCTCTGTGCATTGCCACATCAAGGTCTCAAAGTGAAATAATCGAAGAAACTGTTTGCAAGAAAATGACACCGGCACTGACTCTTGAGGATGGCTCAAGCCCTCATTCCAGCTGCCGAGGTCATTCTGTGCACTTGTTCCAACTCCTGATGTCTCTATCGCATGCTCTGAATCTGCCGGGCTGCTGGCTGCAGTGTAAGGCAGCAAATGTTCCAGAATCTCCGCACGGCGTCTCGACGATAATGAGAGTACAAATGAAGATTGCATCACTCCTTCGAGCAAAGATGGGCATTCCAAGAGCCAAGTGGCCTCAAGTAAATCCAAGACCGTCTCTTCCGCCACATTGAGCACATCTCGATCAATCAGATAGCAAACAATACTCCTAAACCTCTCTAAGCCTCCAGGGAAATCCAGCAAAGGGCATTCTTTGGCATCAGTGCTTTGGACCTGCAGAAACAATCCAGAAACTTCGGCCAGCACATCCACATCCACCTGCAACCGTTCATGGTCAATGATGACGTCCACAGTCTTGTGGCCTTCTCGTATCGTTGGCAGGCTGGGCCCGTCCGCAGACGAACCGAACAAGTAGCTAAACATGGCGGGTGCACGTGAGGCAAGCTAGAATCATCCAGATATTCTTGGAACACTTGTTATCTGATCGGTCAGATGTAACATCGACCCCTCGTGAAACCCAAGAATCTAGAAGCAAAGATGAAGTGTCTTCCGCTAATTCACGGATTCAAGTGTCCTTGTGCGGCTATGGAATGGAATCAAGAGGGTTATAAGTTAAGTTATAGCGAGGGGTTGCATTGTATGAACTTGCATATGTATGAACTTCCTCTGCGATGGTGGGATTTCACGAAATTACACAACTGCTGGCACATGATGAAATGATACCGTTTCAAGCAAAATCATCTGGGTATGTATCACAACAAGAGCATTTGAAATCTGCAGCCTTCTAGAAGCCACCAACATGCATTCAAACTCAGCAAACGCAAACTAGTCGCCCTGCAGGAAACGTTCTGCCTGTTTGAGCAAACATAGACGTTCTTTAGGTAACAGCTGCACTTCCGCTAGCAAGAATTCAACGTGAGCATTCACATCCCTACGATGTAGTCAGGCCAACGATGACAATAGGAAGCAACCATCATAGAAACTTGGTGCACCTCTCCATTTGTGTGTCATCCTTGCGCAGGGGGGGCCAATGATCGTTTAAAGGGCTTTCACCGCTGGTGTGGTAGTAAGTTCATGCCACTGGTCTGTAAGTTTTCTCAGCTGGCAAGGTGGTAGGTTTCAGATGTTACATGGCTGGTGCTGTGACAAGTTCGTTCTGCTGGTTAAGTGGTGCATATGTCGCCAACTCAATTGTTGCATCTTCTGACTAAAATAAGCGGCACAAGCTGATGAGGAAACAATTTTGCATGTTGTGTATGCTGTATGCTCACCACTGGTGGTGGTGCAGTGCCATTCACAGCTGTGCCTCCAACCTAATAGCCATTGCCACAGCCTCCAACCTAATAGTAATGGCCTCCCCCCTATAGCAATGGCCTACAACCTAACAGCGATGCCCCCCCTAATTGCAATGGCCCGTAATAGCTATGGCCTCCCTGACCGCTTTCATGCTCCCTACTGGTGTGCGGTGTGTTGAACTTCGCATGTTACGACAGCCCAGCGCTGAGTCAAAGAGTGGGAAATGGATCCCGACACCCGCCCTACCCGGGGATGATTGATGACTTGCCTGCTTCGCAAATCAAACGAGCCATCTGCACGTCCAGAGGTGACTTTTCGCGACAACGGAAGAATCAGCGTGATAATTTTGCCCTGCACGATGTTCACATGCGCGTGCCTTTGAAAGGAGCGCCAACAGAAAAGAAGGGGACAGGAAAAAGTGGGCACACTGAGACAAGTTCCTGGGAGAACCTTTTTGGTTTTCTGGGGCTAGTGGACTGGTGCAGAACTTGCTGGTCATAATTGCTTGGTTTGTTCCTTGTGCACGCTTCTCTCTTGCGGGTTGCCAATTTCCAAGGGCAAGGAAAAATATGTCTTCACTGTATCTTGGGAGGACTTCGGTTTAAATACCCACATATGTTTGACCATCTCTGATCTTACACATTCGCTGATGAAGCAAAGGCCTTCACATTTGCTGATTTCAAGCAACAGCTCCACCGAAGTGAGCTGCAGAAAGGTCAGGTATTATTCTTTTTACGTGTGTATCACTTCAGATCCGCCGGGCAGTAGACTCAGCAAAAGCACGTACAGCCACAGGAGGGTGGTGGCGCCGAACTGCAGGGGACAAAGCACTCCAAGAAGATGCACAAACTGTTCAAACCTTTCCTCTCACTTAGGCTACCACAAACATTCGGCGGAAGAGAGGTTGCTTGAATAGTACAGCCATGAATTTCCTTGTGCAGCGCAGGGTGCCACCACAAATTCTTCAATCACTTGCCGTAAGGCATTGCAACCACGTAGTATCAGTACCATGCAATGTCGCGCACCTTCTGAAAGTATTTGGGTTTCAAAGCACTTTCAAGGGTCATTGAGGGTCAGGCAGCATTGGCTCATCGAGAAGCCGAAGGCATGGGTGCTACAGGACAAGGAACCAAAGGAAACAGCATGTGACAGCTCCTACTAGGTTGGAGGCCATCGCTAGTAGGTCGTAGGTTGGAGGCCATCGCTAGTAGGTTGGAGGCCATCAAAGAGTGGACTCTCCGCTTGTCTCACTTCATGCCTGCACTGTCACGTCGCCGAAGGCTTTGGCAATCGCCGTGTGTGCCTCCAACATGATGTCTCCAGAGTCGACCTAGTCACAAACTGATCTTGGCATCAGGTGAATGTTTCTGAAGAATCTTGGTTTTGTCTGGTCAAGAAGTCATAACCCCACAAAACATGTAGGAAGTCAGTGCAAGTTGTAAGTTGAAAGAGTGTATGCGTGTGTGTGTGTTTGTGTGTTTGTCTCTTCAATTCTCTGCTTTTCCTTCAAAGCCTTCGGATAAACTTCTGTCATGACACACCAGCGCTTGCTTTCACCAGGAAGCGGCGCTCCATGGCGGCCTTTTCTGCCTTGCTGGAAGCGTCTGCGCTATGAAGACACGACGGAAGTCAACAAATTACTACAGTAACCTTCACCAGCATCGGTCCTTAATCTACGAAACCATTGAAAATGCAGAAATGTCTGAAAAACTTGACCAAAATGCAAAGGGGTCACCAACACTGTATAGACAGTCAAAAAGGCCAAAACCTGCCTGCAAATCCTGAATACGCCTTTCTTTGGCCTCGCCGGCTCTGCGCAAGTAGGTTACCTGGAATTGGCCAAACGAAGATTTCTGTTGCAATCACATTTATGTTTGATGCCGGAACCGCTTCCATAATGCCAAGAGATCTTCAAGAAAGCTTGCGGAAAATTCGAGCCCTTCTGCATCGCTACCCCCCAACAAAATAAGCAAAAAGGTAGAGGTGATTGCTCGTTCTCGCAGCCATGGCAGCCTCATCCAGAAGCTCCTGCTCCTTTTGGCTTACCTCTCGTTGGAGGCGTTCCATGAAGTTGGCCTCACATCTCACGAAGCCGCTGAGCTGCTAAGCTAAGCCGGTGCTTCTTGGCACTAGTTTTCTTGTGTTAAGAAAAAGGACAGGTGTACAGAAAGCAAGAGAAATAAGAATGATTAAGACGATGAAAAGAAAACAATGAGTCTTTGTTTGCACATGTTTCGTGCAAGGAGTTGCGAAAGGTAGTTCGGTCAAGTCGGCCTAACTCCTCGTGATTAGAATGTGACTGCGGCAAATAAAACCGTCATACTTTGCAGCGTTCTGACTTTGTGCCTGGGTTTCTTTTGGCCTATAGGCTTAGACATGAGATGTGTTCTTTTATTTTTACCCCGCTCTTACTCAACTATACAAGTAGGCGGCGACTTAACTCAGTACGGGCTAGGTAAGTATATAAGTTGCTATACTTCTAGGAAGCTTACTCGCAACTGGACGGAGGAAAGCGCGTGCTTCTTCAAGGAAGCTCCCCCCATCGAGCTTTTTTCTGCACCATTCATTTGGTTCCTAGATGTTTTTGGAAACTCAATCTTAACATAATCGGTCTTCCTTTTCTTTGCTATTATCTTTTCCTCTTTGGACATCTAGACTTTGGACCTGTCTTCTGTCCTTTCAATTGTTACATCCTATCACTTCCCTCAATGTCTTCTTTCCACAAGCGTCTTTCCGTTTCTTCTTTCCTCAATGTTTTGTTCTCTGTGGAAAGGGTCTAGTTTTCTGTTCATTCTCCGTCTGCGCTCCTCGAAGTCTTGCAACCTTTTGGCCGAAGACTTGAGATCTTCCTCCAGTCTCGCTTGGGCCTCGCCACTCCGACGACGGCCCGTAGCGCGGCCCGAAAAAACGGCTGCCATCACTTCGTTCCAACCTCTGCAGCCCGTGCCATGGCCAAGTCCTTTTCCTGGAGAAACGTAGCTGCCAAACAAGTCAAAAAAGTCGCAACAAAGGTCAACATAGAGCAACTTTGTTGTCTTCTCCTGCGCCGCACGTCTCAGTAGCAACACCTGCCAAGTGTACGAGGCTCCTAGGGCTCACCTTTCTGCTCATGTGGAAAGAGCTATTGAAACCACTGAAATGTGTCAACCCTAGCCACTAAGCCTGCCTGGGCGGTACACTTCGACCTCGTTGTAGTAAATAGCGATGGCCTCCACCCTAGCTTCTTGCTACTAGTACGCCAGGAGCTACTAGTAGCTTCTTGTTTAGAAGTCACGATGGCCTCCAAACTACTAAATGAAAAATGTTCTTCTTGGCCGAACCTCTTCTTTGGCTTCGTCCGCTTGCCGCAGGGCATCATCAGAGACTCCAGAGAGCTCCGCCAGGCGGCCCTGCGGTGAAAAAGCTTTGGACTCATATGAGATTAGTCGTTCATTTCTTTGGACTCATCTTACTTTAGGCATCTTTAGGCCTTTATTCACTTTATTGTCTCTTTCGTTCTTCTTTTCTCTTCTCTCTCTTTCTCTCAGCCGTGGCTGCTCAGATTCACAAGATCTGCTGTGGGATGTCCATGCAGAGACACTTTCAGCATGAAGAAAATGGCAACATACCCTGCAAACGTGCGTTGAAGTATGTTCCCATGAACAAACTGCAGCGACTTATTCTTGACACGAACGGTGAGAATCTGAATCCTAATGTACAAAGCCTTTTAGCTGCCCGGACTGGTGCCGGGATTCAATTCCAACTCCAACAATGTATTGGCATTAGCACGCTCTTGCAACAAGAGCAACAAGTCGGCGTTCTGTGTTTCCAAGCATTTGCAGAGTTCGAGCATTTCGTCCGCAGCTTCAACAACGCCAGGTTCAATTCTCGTCTCAGGAGAGAGACTGCGCAAACTGCGCCATGCACCAAAGACTAATTCCAACAAAGTTCGGTGACCTAAGCACTTCAGCAGCAAAGTATAGGCGTAGAGACGTGGAGGCGAGCCCCTTGAGCCCCCTCGCCAATGATAAAAGCTCAGAATCAAGACAGTCATGCTCAAACTTTTCTGACTTTCTCTGAATTGCTTTTGAAAACTGAAATGCCGCAGTCTCTGGCACTGCTTCATGCACACTGCAGCCATCCATGAACTAAGAATACGTTGCAAAGAGCACATCCTTTGCATCTTGCACATTCTTCCGGATAAGACCGTCCCCAAGCCTTTGCTCACTGCGCTTTGCCACCATGCCGAGAAGATTCTTCGGCAAACCCTAAGCCCTTGCCTTTGAAGCCAGTAGCAGCGCTGGCGTTGGCAAAATGTCTCCAGCGCCAGCAGCCTCACTTTGCTGGTCGCGTACCGGCGGCTGCTCCAACTCTGCGCCCACTCACGCATGCACGAGGAGAGCAATAGTTGATTCTTTAGCAGAACCTGACTCTTCCGCAGAACCTGACTCCGCCACTGGGAGAAGATCGCAGGCATCCGAAAGGCACGATGGGGCACATGTTGTCGAAGCCATGCTTCAACTTGCCGCAACTGCTGTTTGAGGCGTTCTGATTTCTTGTTGCAATCGTAAGCTTCGTTTTGGTGCTTTTCCAGGATCTGAGCACGCCAAGCTCCGAGGCAATGCCTCAAGAGATAGCGGTCTTGGCGAGCAGATTCGGCCCATTCGCGCCGTCGGCATTGCATGGCGAAAGCACTCCACGCACGATAGCACCGAAGGAGCAAGAGTGCGGAACATCTTTGACCCTGGCTGCGGTGCCAAAGGCACCAACCTCGAAACGCCACCGATTTGGCAGAAAGCCAAGGCCCACGACGTAAGAAACGACACAAGACCTCTGAGCGTTGCTCCAAGTCCTCGCAGCGTCGCTTCACCAGAGCCGTGCGCTCTTTGGCACTCAGCAATGCACCGATCCTCCATGCCTTGAAGCAATGTGACTGCCACACTTCCGCTTGAGCAAGACTTGCAAATGCAGTGGCTGCGTCCACACGGCGGCCTGCGCAAAAGTAATGGCACCAGGCCACAAAAGAAACACGCAACTCTTGCTTGCAACGATGTCTTGCTGCTGCTTGAAGAAGCTGTTCACTATGGCCTCGGGTACGAAGTCCCAGCCGTTCCTGCACAGCAACAGCCAAAAAGTATCGCCAGCACTGAAAAGCCAAATGGATGGTTCCAACTGTGGATTTTTCCTGCTCCCACCGCAACTGCAAGCGGTCGAAGCCGTGAAGTCGATTGAGGAGCTTCTGCCAAGCATTCCAAGCATCACTGAGAAGTGTGGCATCCTTCTCCAGGACACGGCTGTAGGTGAGTTGTGTGATCCGAGCAATGAGTCTTCGGCCTTTCAAGTGTCGAACCCATCGCTCAAAGGATCGACTGGTACATTCGCCGACCCGGGAGCGACTTGCACACCAAGGTAGCAGCTTCAGCACCGCATTTCGATGCAGCTCTTTCTGTGATTCTCCTCTCCTTCTATGCCGCTGCTCAGCCATAAGAAGTGCCCAAGCGTGAAAAGAAACAGAACAAGCTGAGCATCTGAACAACAAGTAGAGCTGAGCTGCGACCTGCCCGGACATGCCTTTGAGGTGCTGGGATTGTCGGCCGAATCGTACATCGTGCTCCCGCTGCAACTTGCAATCTTGAAGAAAACTGATCCAAACCGACCAAGTCTCTTCCAAGAGCCTTCGTGGCAGTGCACGTGCAATCCGACGCCCAAGGCGGCATGCGTGCATCCAACCCTTCCATTTCTGAAACGATCGAACCAGATTGTAAAGGCTAGCCTCGCGGTCTTTGGATGCATAGGAGCGTTCTAGGACTCGATTGTGCAGCATCGCCCTGTGGATGTCGAACTGCCATTGATGTCTCTGATGCTCAAAGCTTTGCAAAAGTCGGCGTCTTTCCGTGAGAAAATGCCAAGAGCGCAGCAGCACCAAAACAGAACCCAGGTGCCAAATCGATCGCAGCGCTTCCGAGGCCTCAATGCCCAATCGCCTCACCAGTCACACTTAGCGTTTGAGGTGATTACCGGGTTCCCAAGAGCGATGGCCTCCAACCTACTAGCCCAACCGTAAACTGGCCATTTGGGTGCAAAAAGATCCAAAAAGAGCAAGAGAGTTTAGAGAAAGCTTAGAGTTTAGAAGAGTCGTTTAGTCCGGGACAATTAATCCTCTCGCATGTGCCACTGACTATGACAACCCTTTGGTTTCAACGGTTCTTGAAGGGCGTGCCAAAGGCTCTCTCTTGCACAGGGTTGCCAAATTCCCAGAACAATCTCTTCTTGATAGGCATAGAGATATTCACGGAGTGCGTGTAAGTGGTGGAATGTAGAAAAAACTTTGGGGGAGGCCCCACTTGCAAGACAGGCCCAACCTGCCTTAGCTGATGGTCTCGACGACTCTTGAGCTTGCGCAGCTGGTTCTCTGTACAAAAGGCCATCCAGCTCTGCAAAAACAAGCGAAGCTTCTGCATGTTGGACTGCTTCGAAACCATTCTCAGAGAAAGCATTTGCTTCTTCTCGAGGGACCACACCAAGAATCGTTGCGCTTTTTGGGCCTTAGCACCCTCATGCCACACGTGCCAGACCAAACGCAGGATCTCGCGAGCTACCCTGAGGGCCGCATTTCTGATGTGCTGTCTGGACTGCCTCGAAGAAGCACAAGTGTCATACCACGCTCTCATCACATCCATCATGGTTATTGCAGTCCTTCGAAAGGTCCGTGCCACCAAGGGTGATCTCGCTCGGTCAAGGTCCGGCCGCCGAAGCCGGTAGCCGGGACCTGCGGGATGGGTGTGTGGATTCGGTTGGAAGACTACCTGGGTCGGAGCCCCACCCAGCTGAGCCAGCGTGGCCGAAACTACTGCTCCGTTCCAAGCTTGCAGAATGAAATAGGCCAAGTCGTAGTCACGCAAGGTTCGCAATGCAGATGCAGCCCGGTTTTGCAAGACTTGGGACTGCAGCCCGATGTTTCTGGGACTGTGCTGCCAGGCTCTATGCCTCATAGACATGCGCATGCTTGAGCCACGCGGAGTTTCCACTGCTCCACGCCAAGCCCACAGAAAAAGCTGCAAGCGCCAAGCTGGAAAGGCTCTTAAATCCAATGGCTTTTGCTGACGATGGACTGCCAAGCGCCAGTGGCTCAAGACCAGTTGCAAAAGAGAGCTGGACAAAAAAACGCATAGAATTGTAGCGCATCTCAATGTGTTCAAACTACGCAGCTGTCGCCCTCTCTGGGCCTCTCTCGGAGAGTCGATCGTCGCACCACCTCTCCGAGTCTCGTTTGGTGCGCTCGGGCGGCCCAGCGCGATGTGGAAATGCCAGGCCCTGAAGATGTCAGCTCTCCTTCGCCGCAAGCTTCGCCGATGCAGCACATCGACGACATCTGAACGAAGTAATGAGAGTTCCACCGACAAGCTGTCCAAATGAGCCTTCAGAGCAATCTGATGCTCATAGTCTGCATTGATCCATGAAAGCGGTTCCAGAATTCCAACTTGCCCTGGCATCTGGCTCTTTGTGAGCCCTCCTGGCAACACGGGCAAACCTCCAACATCAGCCAATGGCTGCGAAGGTGCATGGGTTCTGCAGAGTCCGATTCTCAAAGCAGATTTCAACAGTCTTTGACACGGCATCCATGCCATCCGTGCCTCCAGCTCTGCAAGATGCGCGAACGCCTCATGCATCTGTTGCCCAAAATAGAAGTCTAAATCTGAGCAAGAACAGTAACAAGAAGCTACTAGGAACAAGTGCATCGCTTCTAGTAACAAG